CACAACGGAAATTACTGAAACCAACTCCTAACGAAGATATTAACGTTTTTATTTCACATTGGTTACGAGGAATTTGAACTGCCCGCTGACAAGAAACTCAAAGCTCTACGTGAGTCAAATTGCGCACTACAACGGTTTCAGCAAGCTTCTCAATCGAGCCATGTTCATTTCCGACCATGTGTTGTTCAAACTATTAGCAATTTGCTATCGCTGAGCCAAAGCGTCAAGATCGAGGTTGCCAGATTTTTATATCGCAGAGACTGTCATGATAACGTTCAGCGCGCGATGTGAATCACGTGGAGCATTGAGTTTTCATGAGCGGGTGGTTTGAATTCACGTGGTTTCAATATCAAGAATCATTTAATATCTTCGTACGGAGTTAATTGCGGTAATTTTTGATGTGCGCATCGTGTTTTACGTGAAATTTTAGTTACGAAACACGTATCAGAATGCTGAAATTCGTCTCTTGTCTAGTGGTCAATTACGATCAATTCTACGCCAAAATCATGCATGAAAGCCAGCTCCTTATCATCTCAATCATTGCTCTCGGGCATTTCTTGATCATTTTTGGCAGCTAATTCCTTATCACGGCTGGCATATACCTACTTGATCATTTTTGGCATTAACTTTTTGACCATTGAAGATATCGTTTTCCCTGCCATTCTCACTTATTTTCTTTCGTAGTTTGGTTCTGTCTGGCTTCTCAGGAGGTTTGCTTGTCAAGCTTATTTTCTTCACCAGCTTTTCCCTACCGCTGCACAGAGGCGGTCTTCGTTACCTGTAGGTATAAAAATGACCAAAATCATTTCCATGCAAGTTGCACGGAAATGATTTGACTTCCACGCAACCTCATGGAAAGCAATTGATGATCATGCGTTTTGCGCGGCTATCATGATATGACCATGAAAAGTTTTATGAATCATATTTTACAGGGTTGCTTTTCCAGGGGCACACACAATAAACACTTATAATAACACAACAAAAAACAAAATGCGTAAAGAATATGTCTATTTTACATGAGGTCTACTCTATAATGAGATCAAAGACTTACTTTTTTGTAGGTATGCAACTATCGGTCCTAGAATGTTTCTCAAACCAATGAACCATCATTTTGAATACAAAATATCGTATTTTTCTGAGTTTTTTGTTTCATTATAACGAGGGAAGCGGCTGCGAAAGCAAATAATGCATCCCTAAATACAAGTAGAGGGTCATCTTTCACAAGTTATTTCGCTGCAGGTCGTCACCTATTAGCAATCATCCAACGTAATGTTGTCGATGAACTCTCAATAAACTAACAATAAAATTGCCCTATTATTTGGTGGTTTCGGCAACGTGTATCTCTTACATATCTGTCGAATAAATTGATAATTTTGCGCTCGATGATCTCATTCAGTATCGATAGGGATGCGAAATGATAATGAATTTTCCAAAAAATTTCCCGCGTTAATAGTATAAACGCTTTAACCGCGAAACAGCTCGAGAACGTATGAGCCGTAAGGAACTGTGGATGTTCGATTTTCCACTTGATGGAAAATCCCTTCTCCCTTAGAATTTTTCCAGAATCCCGCCATTATCCAAAATGGCGTACGTGCCATCTGCAGATATTCCAAGTGCTATAGTATGCCGGTATGCGGCAGGTTCACGAAAATCTCCCACCCCCACTGCCTCGTCCGTCTTTTGAACCTCTCCGTTGTTTGTTAAATGAATTTCGTTGGCATTTACTCACCATCCATCGAACTTTCCGAGTGCTTTTAAGTTCTATTTCCAAGCGGAATGTAGAATGGAATAATTCGTCTTGGCGGGCTTCGTAGGTTGCGAGTATTCTCGCATAACTTAATTGTTTCTTGATGCCCCTGAAAATCATTGAATTCTTACGGCCAAGACTGAAAAATTAAATGAATGAAACCAAATTAATTGTACGTTTATAAATACCACCAGCTCGACGTAAAGAATGTTTATACCTGAAATATCGCAACCTTTGAATCTTGGGTGATTCAGCTTAAGCATTTAATGTAGCTTTTATTTTTGCTAATTTTTCATAAACCCAGACTTCGACTTCTCGGTCGTAATCAGGCCGCGTTTACCAGAAGGGAATTAAGTCACCAATTTTCTACATACCGGTCGTGCGAATTTTATGTTTGCCAATAGCGAATTTTCTGCGCAGCACGAAACAAATCCCTTAATTTTTTTTCAAAAAATCCGCACAAACTTCCTCTTGTGAAAAATTAAATCGCCCAGTTTTCGACAATAGCTGGTGTGGTTCAGTTCTTATCTGCTATTAGCTAGTCTAATTCAAGCTACAGGGTGAGGAACAAGACGCTGTAGCATAATGATACCGTGCTGGTCCTTTTTCCAAGTCAACCACATCATCAGTTTTACTCCCCGAAAATTTTTTCGGAAAAGCTCCTCACTTTGAAAATAAGTCCTACGTACGGCGCACACTCTAAACTTAAAAAGCGTCATTTGGGTTACCGAGGAAGTTTGCGTGTCGACCCTCTCTTAAAGGCAGCCCCTGACACTCAAGAGGTTAGCATTGCGTGTCACTGCAGGCTGCGTTGGTGACCTCTCTATAGTTGGACGTATTTATGCTGAAAGGCACTATGTTACACGCAAACCTGATGCTCATAGTTGCTTTCAGCAAAAATACGTCCAGTTGTCCATTATGTTCCAGGCTGATCCTTTGATCCCTCAGGAATCGTGCACGACACACTGGATAATATAATTCGGGGGCGTCCCGGGGGCTGTTCCTCGTTCCATACCGTGTTTTTGAATCGAATTACATTGTTGCATGCAAAATAATTTCAACGTGCGTGAGGCAGTCTCGCGATCCGGCCATATTTGTATGTATGTATTCTGTCGTTTTTTTCCATTTTCAACCGACCCTCTCTGTTCGACATATCGGTGAAAGTCCTCTCGACTAGAGTCCCTGTATACTTAGAGTCAAGACAATGTGAATCCATTTCTGATTGGTTCCCGTATTTTAGGCCTTCACAGTGTCACAAACGGGAATAAAGATCACATTTTCACCAACTGCAAAGATTATAATCTGGAATGGACCGAAGAATTGCGGGTTCGGCAAGGAACAAACAGAATGAGAGAAGGAACGGAGAAAGGAATTTGGGAATGGGCCGATCAAAGATTACGAAAAACGTTCAATTTCTGTAATCTTTATTCCCGTTTGTTACTCCATGAGGGGAGTTGTCTTGACTCTCAGTATAAAGGGACTCTACTCTCGACCATCATTTTTCGGAAATTTGTGCTCTCAACACGTGGAGTTTTATTTGTTCATTGATACTTTACGACCGTTTATTCAATATGTGCAAAGAAAGGGATACGCTCAGTACCGTTGTACAGTTTTTCAGCTGCTGAGGTTTGGATCACACATGTGAAACTTCAGTTCTTACATCTGAAGTACTTCGGTTTTCACATCCGAAAAACTTCGGTTCTCACATCTGAAGTACTTCAGTTGTAAGAACTGGAGTCTCAGATGGGTGATCCGAACCTCGACAGCTAGACCTAAAGTATGCTGAGATGCTCAATCCGAAAACTTCAGAGATCCATATGACCTAAACTTCGGGTCCCATGCACGAGGTTTTTTTCTCCGTGTACCCCTAAAAAAATCAATTAAATAATATTCTGCCCTCATGTTAATCTCTAGTCGTACTGAACACTGTTAACTTCTTTATTTCCATTCAGTCGTCTCCGAGAAGACCGAGATCTTACAGTAGCTGGCACCGGACCAAGTTCCAGTCCCTGCGCGCGGCATCAGTTCTAGGTTAAGGGGAATTAATTGCGTGTGAAGTGTTACAAGAGCGCTTATTGCTCCCCATTCGGCATTTCGTCGCTCCTCTGACGTAAGGGCGTATCTCGATTTAGACATGAGCCCTGGAAAGTATGGTGTCATATGGACAACAGGGTTCACGTGGAAATCGAGATACGCCCTTACGTCAGAGGGGCGACGATTTTATCACACCCCTGCCCCTCCCCCACTCAGTAGCACTCAATGACCAGTGTCACCCTATTCAATTGGCTTCTTTACCGGGCAATTCGTGCACAGAGTGTTATTTTAAAAAAAATGTATGTCAGACTCATCGTGGACTTTTAAGTACTGTTGGCAGACCTTTTTAAGTGAGGGAAGGGGAGAGTGCACGCTTCTCCTTCGAAAGAAACATAGAGCCGAACACCGTTGATCGATTTGAAAATCCATTTCTAGCTGCAGAAATTTCATTTTATTTTCGCGGGAATCTAGAACAGGAGGTCAAAAGATTACTCCTCACGTTGGACTGGGTGTATTGGCTCATTGTATTATTTTCAACGGAAGTAGAATACACGTATTTTGAAGAAAATGAAGTATGAAGTATGAGCATTTTAAGACGCACTCAAAATAACATTTCATTCATTTCCAAAGATAACGCTACAAACTGATTCTGAGTGTTGAAGCTTTTCTAGGTATACTGTAACGTTTCTATTCCCTGTACGAAGTTGAGAACACAGGGAGGGTAATCATTTGCCGTTTAATGCCAGAATGTAATACATTCAAGGTATCGGAATCTGCTGGTAAATCCGGGATGTTCTACGAAAAATGCTCACTTCTTTTTCTAAGGATATGAGCACGCTTGTCGTTCGCATCGCAAGGTATGAACGTTTCAAAATTACTTGAACAGCGTTCGTCAAAAAGGAAACCAAATGTCAGAACTCATGCATTCAGAAAAAACCATGTTTTTCGGTATGGCAATGGATAGTAAGCATGTTGTTCCTTACACACTTTTTTTGCAATGGTCGTAAACTTACCCTTCGCCTGTAGCAGGCAACTTCCAGTGATTGAGCTAAATGGATTCTTGTAAATGAGTCCGACTTTTACTCTTAGGGACAAAATGTCCTAACTAAATCATGATGTAAACTTTTTGAGAACTTTGTCCTAGACAGAGTGCTAATTCTCCTTATTTTAGCCTTTTTCGTCCGCATCTTTTTTTTAATCAATAATTTTTACATAGTTATTATAAAGAGCTCATATCATGCAGTATATATTTACTTGTAAAATGGATATTGGGTACATAGATACACTTCTTCATGTTGTCTGATTTTCAGATATTCAAATATTCCGTTTACGATACTAATTACTGAAAATTGCTTGTTAGCGTCTGTAGGTCATCGCATTTTATTCCCGCTGAAGAACTCTTTTCTCAGCTATGACAAGAATTATTCACCAGGCAATGGCATACAAAACATTCTGCTTTTAATTTTGAAAGTTTGGAAAAATAATCAGAATCATATTCTCTGTCTCTATAAAAAATGACTGTTAACACTAAAGTTAAAGTACATTTGTTCATCTTATAGGTATATAAATAAATTAACAGTGAAAAGTATCTACAATGATAAACTGAGTCTTTCGTCTGCAAGGTACGCAGCACTTACGCTGTATTTACAATCTAATCCAAATCATCAGGGAAAATTTTATAAAAGTAAGCGTGTCTAATCCGTATTCATTGACATCCAATCTAAATCCATCTTGTGTATCACCTAAGAGCGGCGTCTTTTTTACTCATGAATGCAAATTTCTAGGTCAACTAGAAAAAACAGGTTTCTAGGTTTTAATTAAGGTTAGATTTACCTATATTTGGTAATTTTTAGGTTAATAGGGCATATTAAAATCCATAAAAATCGCGACCATTGTGAAATCAAATAAAACAATTAAATATCCTACTTTTCTTCTCTTTTCTTTGTCGGTTGCTCATGGAGAGTTTGATGTTATAACATTTCCGCTCAACCTTGAAGCGAACACAATGGCTAAAAGGTAAATACAGAGACCCTGAACACCTCTACATTAAAGTCTGAGGATAGTTGCTTGGTAGATGCTTCCTCCTTGGTAACGTGCATTGAACGGTATCTGTTAAACGTTTTTTATGTGCTTGGCAGGTTGCTCATCTTTAGAGCCATTTTGCATAGGGAGCAAACCTTCCGGCTTTTGATTATTGTACATCGTGTTTGGTTTTTGGCCATTTGGTTGGAAGCCTTGGGAGGATGGGATATTCGGATGCACTTCTTCGGGGCACTTCATACGCGTGCAGGCGGGTATAAGCACCACCAAACAGACGCATGTGTTGCAGTTATCTTTCCACGTTTCATTAATGATAGAGCAGCTTTCTCCTGAAACAAATGCGTTTTTGAAGTGATTAAAGTGGGAACGAATTCATATTGATCGAATTACATTCTGCAATGAGGAAGCTCTATTTTTGACTGATTTTAGGAAGAACATTTGGATGCCATGACATCAGAAGGAACCAGAAAACGTTGGAAGAGGATAAGTCGGTAACGATTGCGTGTTGGGAAACTGCGGAGCGCAAGGACGCTCAACAACAAGTCATTGTTTCATGCGGTGATCCATCGATGTTCAACTCATGGTTTCTCATTGCAAGACTTAAATCTCCTATAGGTAGAACGTTCCTCAATAAGGGACATGAGCTGTTACGAGATCTCGCAAGCCGCCATACGCCGTTTCCCAAAACACAGTTGCATCGAACCGAGACCCATGCATCCTTCAGGAGCTTTTTTTTTTTGAGCAATGCCATTCGTTTATGCAATTAGTTTCTGTGTGCTGGTAGACGTTTCATGGAAAAGTCAGACTAAGTGGCTCTTAATATCCGCAAAACAGCCCACTTTAGACATCATTCAGCTATGAGGAAGCGCTATCTCTGAATCAATTGCAAAATCACCTGGCTAGCATTGGGGAATTAATCGCATTAACATGGTTTCTAAAAGAAGCCAGAAATAGCAGTTACCTGTTGCAAAAAGTAGTCTCATTAAACCCAACTCTGGCCGAATGACCGATTTTCTGCGCATGGTTTCAAATTACTTGTTCTGTATCATTTTATAATCTGAAGTCTCAAAAAGATTACAAGAAGAAAGCATTATCAATAGGACTCTTAAAGCCTTTCGTTCGTTCAGATGCATACTGCATGTATTCCATAGAGACATGAAACTTTATGAGCTGGCACCTGACTTACAGTGGCATCGCCTAGATTTTGGGTAGGTATTAGCCCTGCACCAATCCGGGCAGCTCCGGTACTGAATCTGTATCCAGCTCTAGGTGAAACCATTATTATTTTTAACCTACCTCTGGCATGAGCACTTAACCGCTCCGATTGAATGCGTAAGCATGCTCGCTTCTTCCGATCAATTTACTCCACCAAAGATCTATGGTTCACCCGTTTTATCCCAGCAAAAATATCGGGACCTATCGCATACTTCAGACGGTCCGTTTCCGTGGAAATGCATCTGGACTGAAGAATACTTCGAATGAGCAATTTTCCCACATCCGAGCTCATTTCAGGCTCATCTCATCGAACTTTAGGGTAATCATTAATGAAACAACAGTTTTTATACGTGCTCCAAGTCTTATACGTCGATTAATCGATTACTCGATTGTGTCCGCATTTCAATGGATCAAAAATCTAAAAAACCTACCCCGAGAAGAAAAATCTGAACATCGATTCTTACGAAACTTTCGCCTCTGTTGGCGTAATCTATTTATTCTACGGCGACTTGGGACATAATGGATCTGGTTTCGTCTCGGGCCCCAGATAAAATGGGTTACATTGTGCAATGAGGAACCATGGCTCTTCCATAAGAGCACATATCTACATATGGAAACCAATGACATGTATGCTGTTTCTAAAATGGGCCAGAAATAGTGGTTCCTTATTGCAAAATGTAATCCAAATAGGCAAGAGCGTCATTGATGTTATTTTGTCCCCCCCCCTCCCCCTTCCCTCGAGACATACTGCTCTTGCTCTGCTCAGGGGCCGTTCATAAATTACTCAATGCTCTGGAGGGAGAGGGAAAGTCGAGCAGAGCGTTACGCCATTTTGTTTTCCCGTGTTTAAGGATAGCGCCACAAAAACGTTACAAGGGGGTCAAAAATGCCAAAGAAGGGCGTTACGTAACTTGGATTGCATATTTCAAAAAGAAACCACTAGCATCGCAATGATGCTAAGATTGTGCAACTTCATCCTTTGCAATAAAATTACGGAAATTATGAAAAACTATGAAATTTAGACGGTAAGTTTTGTCTTAAATTTACATTAATAAAGTTTGATTCGAACAACACCATTATAATTGTAGTTTTGAAGTATAACCAAGGTGATGTAATGATCGTTTTTTATTAATTTACTAAAAGTAACTAAAACTAAAATTAAATTTACAGTTTTTAGCGAGTAAAATGGAAGCTATTAAGGGATAATCGGGTTTTTCCTCCAAGACAAAAGAAGTTGCACAATCTTAGCAACATTGCAATGCTAGTGGTTCCTTTTTGCAGAATGCAATCCACTTATAAACGCTAACTAACGTTACAAGGGGGTCAAAAATGCCAAAGAAGGGCGTTACGTAACTTGGATTGCATATTTCAAAAAGAAACCACTAGCATCGCAATGTAGCATTACTCACTACTATGTGTTGGGATCTGTGTTGAACTTGGTGCCGACATCTCCTTGCCAGCTCTCCGATTTCTAGCCGATAGGTAGCGCTCCTCGCAGGCAGCTTGGAGATCGCTGATACCTTTGTAGCAGTAGTTGTGAATTCTGAGGAAGGGTCTTCCGTCCTCGTAGCATGTCGCCAGTTGGCATGTTGCGTCAATGCTGTATGTCACAGACGACCGTTTCGGGCTCTTGTAAGCATCTGAAACCGAAGCAGGCATTGAACGAGAATGATTCCTGTGGTTCCCGAGACGGATCCCCCAGCTTGGCGAAATACATTGTTGCCGCTCGATCGATAGATTTCAACCTCCTAAACTATTGGGAAGGGGAGGGGAGGGGGTAATTCGGAAGTATCCAAATGTCATTGTTCGGATAATTCATCATGGGAAACACTGAAAAAAAAAACACATTGGATCGAGAGTCCGGACTCTTAAAAACATCGACAAGAAAAAATACTCTTGAATCAATCAGATTTTAGCTTAAATCAAGAACCAAGCCTCTTAATTTAAGCGGATTTCCTTTTGATCCAAGCGAAAATCTGATCGAATCAAGAGTATTTTTTCTTGTCAATGCTTTCAAAAGTCTGGACTCTAGATCAATAAGTTCTTTTTTTTGTTTTTTTTCCAGTGAATTCGCAGTTATTGAACTCCAATAATGACTCTCTGAAGGAAGAATCGTCTACTGTTTTTGTCCGGTTCGAACTCGTAGACTAGTTTTTCTAACCACGATTTTATCAGAAAAAATAAGAAGTAATGATCATACGGAATAACTACTGCATCATCAATTCATTACCCGTTTCGCTCTTTCTCTCCGATCATGAGCGTATTTCCCGTGTCTTATCTGCTTCGCCTTGAATTCTCTTGTATTTTTGCCCTTTGACTCGTGTTCTAGTCGTCACGAAAGACTGAAATATTCTTCAGATAAGTTCAATCGAATGTACGCGGATACTACCGTTTATGACGGACGTTATGCTGCCAGACAAATACCCGAATTTTCGGCGGCGAAAGAAACTGTAGTCTGTATGTTGAAAAACATTGAGAGTTTTGTCCTTGGCGTAATATTAAAAGCGTCATTTTGTCAGTTTTTCTCCGAATCATTCATCGCCCTCATTTGTATATCAATTCATTTAAACCATGATTTCTTCTTTTGTTTCAGGTAAGCGTTTGTGCAGAGGCAGTAGCATTTCATCCAGTTTTCACACTTCCGTATATATGTGCATTGCATACCCACGGCTTAACTGCCCGCTTCTTTACTGATAAGCAGCTGCATTTTTTGCATTATAACTAAATGAAAACGCAAAAAAGTGTTCATTGAACCAAAAAGATGTATGTTAACCCCCTGGAATTCAATACAGCATCCTTAAGTTTAAGTTCCAATAATCTGTCTCTGATGGGTACCAACGGATGATTTGACACCGTTTTTGAGAGATTAATGGCCACTCAAAGCAGCCATGCAAAAATAAAAGTATAAATTACAGCTTTGTACCAGAATAGCTTTAAGGTTTCTGTTAGGGCGGTGTTTCAAATCAAATTATCTCATCGTTTAATTTGTCCGGAAAAATCTGATTCAAGTAGTTCATTGTTTATATAGTGATTTGTATCATGCTGTCGATTTTTTTTTTTTTTTTTTATGAAAAGAAGACGAATTTAAAATTTACTGCGCCTGCTCTCAGACGTCTTCGAAAAGAAATAAATTCTCGATTACACAAGGTGGCTAAGTGGTGCTGGGTCCACACTATTTCGCGGGGAAATCAAAGCCAAGAAGTTCCAAAAATTATAATTAAAGTCAAAATTAAATTGCCGACTGTGATATGCTTATGAGGTCTAAAAAGGCCCAAACCGGTATAGATCTCTCGGCGTGACTCCAACTTAATATTCAATGCAAACTACCTGAGCTGAACACTCCCCCCCCCTCAGCCTCGTACTGGTGCGCAATGGAGTTCAAAAAATTTAATTTTGACTCTAAATATAATTTTTGGAACTTCTTGGCTTTGTTTTCCCCGCGAAATGGTGTGGACCCAGCACCATTGCACATACCTTTCGCACATGCCTTTTTGAACCTTGTTACATTCAGTTCGGGCCACTTCTTAGTGTTTTTTTCTTTCATGATGATTGTACCCGATATCATGCCTCATGCAAAGTTAGCAGCTTCTCCTGGCGTTAATATTACAACCTCGATTATCCAGTCATTCAGTCGTCTCAACAAAATAGTATGGACGTGTTTATGCTATAAGGAACTATGTTTATAGAGTTTGTGTGAGACATAGTTCCTTAATCCTTTTGGCATAACACGCTCAGTTCACGATTGTATGCATACTTACATTTATCGAAGTCGGGTGACACGACGAAATTTTCCTCCAACTCCCGCTCTTTCTCTTCAAGTTCCTTCTTCTTCTCCTCGAGTTCCTGCTTCTCCCTATTCCTCGGAGGGATCTTTTGGATGTGCGTCCTGTCCGACTCGACCTTCTTTTGAAGCTCCTTCAGGCTGGCGCTTTTGGCGTTCGGGTTCATCATCTGCGATAGCAACTGTAACACCGGACTCCCCGGTCCTGTTTCCTGATTGTCTCCATTTCCCTGCGGGGAACTCTCGCGCGAATCCTTACCGGCTGGAAAACAACGAAAGAGTCGTAGTTAGTAATGAAGTCTACTTAAATACAAAATTTCCGTTTACGGTGAAATGAGGTCTCTTGGTCATGATGGCTTCGCGAGTCTCATGACTTGAAACTTGCCGAGTACGAGATTTCGTTCCCCTTGGTATTACTCGCTGTAGATTAACATCACCATCGGCAATCGCTCATTTAACATTCAGAACTTTTCCTTCCATCTTCGGACAACTTTTGTCTGTGCAAGGCGTAAACAGAGTCTAAGACTTCTAGGACCTTCAACTTAAGAACCGAGTAATAGATTTATATCGTAAAATGAAGACTGGGAAGTAGGTATAGATGCAACAAATCTGCTGAGTAGTACATAATGGACCACTAGATAAGGTACGAATTTCAGCATTCTGATACATGTTTCTTAACCATAATTTTACGTAAAACACGATGCACACAACGAAAATTACCGAAATTAACTCCTTACGAAGATATTTAATGATTCTTAATGCGTGAATTCAAACCACCCGCTCATGAAAACACAATGCTCTACGTGATTCACATCGCGCGCTAAACGTTATCATGACAGTCTCTGTGATATAAAAATCTGGCAACCTTAATCTTGACGCTTTGGCTCAGTTATAGCAAATTGCTAATAGTTTGAACAACACATGATGGGAAATGACCATTGCTCGATTGAGAAGCTTGCTGAAACCGTTGTAGTGGGCGATTTGACTCACGTAGAGTTTTGAGTTTCTTGTGAGCGGGCAGTTCAAATTCCTCGTAACCAATGTGAAATAAAAACGTTAATATCTTCGTTAGGAGTTGGTTTCCGTAATTTTCGTTGTGTGAATCGTTTTCCACGTGAAATTCTGGTTAAGAAACATGTATCAGATCGCTTAAATTCGTACCTTGTCTAGTGGTCCATTGTTCGTATAAAAAATTAAATGATTCCCATCAGTTAATTCTAAGTTTGAGTGTCTCGTGCTCAAATTTTCATTCAGCGCATCTTTTTTTCAAAGACGCAATTGTGCTCTACGGTGTTGAGCACTGTGAACGGATCTGACTTCCAACCGTGAACTTACCAAACCGGAGAGCAAACACTATTTTTCGCGACCTCGTGTAGTTTTATTCATAACAATTTTAATAGTCTTGTCTTGTCTAGATTGTCCAGGTCCCCCTCAGTCTTGCACTGAAACTCATCAAAGCTCATTTTGTGACTTTATGTATAATTTTTGATATTTTCGGGTTTTGATTTCCCTGTAGAATAGTGAGGACCTAGCACTATTCTTTCATCCTTTTACACATAGTTTTAATTTATATTCCATCAACGAGAGGGTTTCCTTTTGCAATTGTAATTTTTTTCCCCTAAAATTATCCCTGGAATTTATGCATGATTAGACTAAATCGTTTTTTCATATCAGATCTATATCAACCAAAATAACACCTTAACTAATTAATCTCTAAATCTACTTTAACGAAATGTGTTCACACTACTAATCAAACACAAGTGTATTAAATTCATATTGTTAAGCAGTAATCATGCGTAATCTAGTGGCAGAATCATCTCAAATATATTATACGGAAAGTAGAGAAAGACACTTTGCTTCTCAAGAAAACTTAAATTGGACAATTTAAAGCACGACGAAAATTCTTACCGACAAACGCGAAGGAACAAACGATCGCCAAACTTATAACTATCACTTGTTGTCGAATCATTTTGTTAGCACTATGTTACTTATTCACGAACTAAAATCAACTGAAAGCCTTTTTCATCGGTACTGCCAGCGTGTGGGTAAATATTCTGCTGATAAAAGTTGATGATAAGCGTGACATAATACCAGTAGGACGCACAGTGATCTCAGGAGAAAAGTTTTTAATTCAAACATCACACTCGCTGGAATTCAACTTTAGCTTACATTCAGTGGAATTATCAGAAGTTCTGAGTAACATCCCCTGCGTTCTTTATTTCTTTAACCACTTTTAATGAAAGACAAAAAAGCAGAGAACCTGGATTCAGAGACACGAATATTTAAATGCTGTATATACTCAAGTCTTAGAGGTATATTATCTAGTCTTCTTACACGTTAAAACTGTTTTTGGAAATATCGCTCTCCGAAAAGCTCAGCAGCCTAAAATTCGGTTCAACTGTCAAAAACTTTCTTTCGAGCTTTCAGCAGTTTTGCCGAGTGGAGCTTTTGGGAGTGCGATCATCGTCGAAAAAGTCCTCTCCGTTTACTGTCAATGATCGACCAAAATTTTACCATTATGTTACCATTGTTATGTCCTTCGAAGGGTCCAAAATCAGAGGGAGTCCCTCCGATTTCTCGTTCGAACAGAACTTTTCTATTGTCTGATGGGAAGATCCACCAAGAGCCGGATGCAAAGCGAGTGCCTTGGCCTCGGGCGACCGGCTCTGCCGTGATATCGAAGAGAACAGCAAGTACATTTCTATATGAGCCATAATTAGCACATGTTTTTATGGGTCTCGAGGTTCATCCTAGCATTCACTTACTGCTCTCTTCGCTATCGCGGCAGGGCCGGCCGAGCGCATGAAATCAGGTGGCGAACTTTCAACCCTCGAGATAAAGCTAAAACGGACACAATACAAGATTAGCCGCTCGAGCCTTGGTTTCGTAGCTACCGTATCGGACGGGATTAATAAAGTTTCTACCGGCAGGGTTACCTGATCTCCATCAGAGTATTGATGAGCTTTCGCGGATCTTTACGGAATTTTGCCCAATTTGGCGCTGAGTGAGATGGAGTAAGGCCGTTCACTTCGCTTTCTCATTGAATTTTTTATAATAGGATAAAGAGGATGGTTCTATATAATTTTATGAGAATACAGTGTGTCCTAGGAGTAAGTACGAATATTGAAGGAGTCGATTCT